AGGTAGTCGTTCTCCACGTTAAAAACACCTCCTGAGAAAAAAATTTCGTGACGAAAACTGCATGTCGAGTTTTTTACTCCATGATACTTTGCCGGCGCTTTTCCACGTTCCCATGTCGCCGTATTTGTGGCATGTAAATAATATTTTACGCTTTATGTGGACGTTTTCTCGTTCAGGCAACCATCCGCGCTAGTGCCGTGAAATTTTACAGGAAAGAACATCTGCCAGTCTCGCAGAGGGAGGGGGCGTATCGCTGAAGCCCGATTCAACATGCCACAAGCACGTTTGTGTGTATCTGTATGTGTTATGTGTGTGTCAAGAGGAGGGGACCAAGCAAAAGGGAAAATAAAAAAAAGGAATCCCTTCGACGTGCCACCCGTCAAGCACATTGACCATGTTGCGATAAGATCTGTGAGCGGTAACCGCGCTGTGCTGAGTGCTGAAAGAACACTAGTGAACTTGGACGCGGTGTTAACACCAGTCTCCTGGGTTTCTGAAATAGCGGCGACTGGGCGCTCATCGTGCTCACATGTTTCGACGGGATTTGAATGGCACAGGCTACCCTTCCAAGACGGAAAACCCTTTAATGAAGGCTAAGGTCGGCCCGGGGGCGCCTGGGCCCATTTCGTAAAACCAGTGCGTGTCTGGTGGCACGTGGATTTGAACCCACGACCTCCCGCATCTAAAGCGGACACTTTACCACTGGGCTAAATATCTCACCGTGAGGCTAAGGCTGCGGCGACGTAGACGTGATAAAAGGCGCGTTTAGTGCATGTCGTTTCATTGTGAGACTAATAGATGGCGCCAGCCATCTACCAATCCAGTTAGAGTTTCGACACTCCCACAAGCTCAATTCAACGTTTTCAGATAACTGAAACGTTCGTAACCATCTAAAACAATGGCTCCCAGCCTAGAGTTTGAATATGTCAATCATAGATTTTGATACAATAATACCTAGCGAGGAATCTGGCGCTGCGATCGTGTACCTTCTTAGGAAGTATGAAAAATACAGGCTTCGGATTGGATCGCGTTAGCCAGTGAACTGTTTACGGATATTTTGAGGCAGTTTCAGTTTCGTTCTTCGCGTAGAGTGGGTAGTGGGGTGGGTGCAAATGACTTAAGCTGCGCCTTTGTTGTTAAACGAAGCTAAAAAATACTAGGCCTCCCAATTTACTGGAACGCTGGAGCTGTTTAAGACATATTTGACAGTTTAAGCGAAGTGTCGTCAGCTCAACGCTGCACATAGATGTAGCGTCCCATGCCAGTGCAGAATATTACATCAATTTCGCGTTTGTTGTTAGTGCGTCTTGCCAAAACTCGTTGAAATCAACTGCAAAAGACGGCGACGCGAAGTAGACGCCCTGTCACGCTTCTCCTACTCAACTTCACAACAAAACGAGAGGTGCTTTGGGGGCAAGGAGGTTCAATAGACAGAGAATAGAACCTCCTTGCTTGGGGGCAGACCAGTTTAACAGACGCACCTAGCATCGCAGCAGACAAATTGTTAAATGTTGCTCGTCTCATACTGTGCTGTTATTTCCATAAATATATATTGCGTACTCTCGAGGCAAACCAAGAATATTTGTTTTCAAATGTTGTAACAAATAGTTTATTACATCTTGATGCCAAATCTGGAACGCAATGGCAGAGCAATGCATACCATGGTGGTTTTATTCTTAGAGGTTACACTTCTACCGTCTATTCACAAGAACCGTTTGCAATAAACGTTCTGTACAAAAAAAAATGAATGAACTTTAATTTGACATAACTTCATATAACTTTGTTTAACACTCGAAAAAGAAGCGTCGCGAATCTCAAGAATATGATCCATCCGAAGCAGATCCGATGCCTGTACTTCCCATCATCGCCATGTGGTACAAATGCCGCTGAAGGAGCCCGCGTAGATAATAGCGCCACATTCAACTCTAGGTAGTATTGTATGAAACTCTATGATGTCATTTGTCACCACTGTCCACAATCTTTGCAGAGCTTTGCTTACTGTGGCGCCACCTATGGGCAAAAACACAAACAATTTATGTAACAATGTGTGTGTCTGTGGGGGGTGGGGGGGGGGGGGGTTCCATGACCGCATTGTTCATCGGCTTACAATATAACTGCTTCTCGTGCAACGACCGCGAAGACTACAGCGATGCTGGTGATACGGTGTATTCTTTGTCGTATTTCCGTGGTGGCGTGTCCACAGGCAAGTGCAAGTTGGGGAGTATTTGCGCATTGAAAAACTCGGCGTACATACTCGCTTCACGTTTGTCCAGTGAAACGCGTGCTTTGCAAGGAGCAGTTCGTTCCGTTCCTTGCGAGCACCCACACGACGCAATCGAATTGCTCCAAAATGGTGCCGATCGTCGCTCATTATTTTACGACGCCAAACGGTTCTTGTGCTCCTTCTTCAAAAACAAAAAAAAAACATTGTCCACCCTTATTCACGCTCCTGTAGGTGGCGTCACCATACCAGCTAGGGCTTGTGAACCAGGTAAACGCTATCCTGCTAAACTATAGGGCTAAACATATGGATAATTTTACAGCGAGAGTGTTTAAAGCTGTCATCTGCAGCGTTGACCCGACGAATGGAAATAAAGAACGTCATGATCCCAGCAGGAATCAAACCCCCGCAATTTAGCTGCCAATCAAGTGTTCTACCACAGAGCCACGCCAGGCCTCGGAACCACTTTTTGAATAGACCTTAATTTTCGTGAAACGTCAATTGTGGCTGCCATGTTGGCGATCCAATTCTATAAACATTACTGATGTACTACTACGACATAGCCGTCACATCGAGGTAAAGGTGCCATGCGCCGAAATTTTTGTAGCTGTGTCCAGGGCTTCCATCTTCGAGGACCAGCGCGTCATGTATCAGCTTACCACTTTTGGTGATGCTCTCATGTTCTTGTTAGCATCGTTGTGCCAGTACTAACAACTGCTTATAAATACCTATGCAACTGTTCAATATATGAAGGCGCGTGCAACATTTGTACAAGTATTTAGCGTCATTTCATAACGAGTCCCTCAAAAAATTTACAACACGGTCGCCTTCCCTCCGCATGCTTCGCGTAACCTCGATTGCCAAGGGGAGTGAGCCTGCCAAATTTCCGTAACATAACAAATACTTCATTATGTGTGTGCGCGCGTGCATGTGAATATGTGCATGGAAGAAACACCCATAACAAAAAAAAATATGGCCCCTCCCCCTTACCCAACTACTGGAACTTTCGTCGATGGACGTGAGACTCAAAGGCAAGAAAATGGCAAAAAAAAACAAAAGCTAAATTTTTAAAGAAACAAAAAAAGGAGCCACGTTGGTGTGCTACCCGTCGAGGCACACACTACGCATTTTTATAGGCAGATGGGCCAGGCTCCACGGTCTCGTGAGCAAATACCGCGCCATGCTGCCCCCGTGGAGGCTCGTGTGGTTTTCCAGCACCTACCGTCCACGTTTCTCTGCCAAGTTGCTTTGTATACAACAGCGATCAAGTTGCGTCGTCTGAAAGGATTTTTCCATGACAGACAGACATTGAACCACGCGTCTCGCCCAGAGGAGGTTTCACGTTAAGCCACTCACGAGATTTTTGACGGGCTTTTAAGCGCAGGCTCCTTTCCCAAGCGTTTACAAGGCCAGGGTGTCAGGCCGGTGAGCGCTTGTGCCCATTTTACGGAAACCAGTGGGTGACCGGCGGCAGCGGGATTCGAACCCACACCTCCCGCAGTCGAGGCGGACACTCTACCAACTAGGCCACGACTGCGGTGATGTGGACGCTGCGCTATGCGCCATTTGTACCTACTATGTAAAGTTTACAAGAATGTGTAAAAATAATGTGCAAGTGCACTAGCAAAAATGGCAAACATAAATAAAGAAACAGCATAGTAAGATATATACAGTCATAAAATAAATGGTGGGAATTCCTCCAAGACAGTGCACGAAATTCGTGTGGGAAAACAATTCATGACGCTTCCCTAGAGCACTCGGGTGTCTGCTTCACAGCGCCATAAACGGGGCGATCCCCATTCTCCAATTTATATGCGGCAAGGAGGAGGAAACAACATTATTCAATAATATCAACAAAAATCTGCAATTAGAATGATTAGTTGCGCCATCTATCGCCTTTAATACAAAGTTAGGCGAGTATACTTTTATGTCAAATCAACAGATGGCATCAAAACTCAAAAAAGAGAGAGAGTAAGTTTTTTTTTTGTTTATTGTGTTTGCGTGTGTGTGTGTCGATCGTACCATTTGCGCATGCGTATCGCTTCATTTATCGATGGACGACCAGTTTACTAAAGCCCACAACATCTTTTCAGTCGAACGTCCGAATTACGCTGCTTGAGCAAAAACATATCATGGTATTACTCACAGTAAAAAGTACTGGCCCACACAATCAATAGCAAACGGTGTCTCGCCCACGCTGTTTCAGTCCGCCGCTTCCTGGGCGCACACTTAACACCGGCGTTAATGTCATTGTCCAAAAAAAAGCAAAAAAAGGGGGAGTGCGTCTCCGATATGCCACCCGCCATGCACATCGACCATATTGCGAAGAAAGCCCCGTCACACGATCTGCGATTTGCTCAAGCAGCGTAACCACGTAATGTGAGTCTCTGGGTCCACGTGCGACGCACAGCAGAAAACAACGATTTCTCACGACGTTTCAGACCTTCTTTGACCTCCTTTACCTCGCTTTCCTGAGCTCATTATGTGCCCACATGTTTCGACGGGATTCGAATGGCGAAGGCTTCCCTTCCCAGGCGGCTCACCCCTGAAGGAAGCCGCTCGAGTGTTAGGCCGGAGGACGCCTGTGGCCATTTTGCGAAACCGGCGGGTAATCGGTGGAACGTGGGGTTCAGCCCACGACCTCCCACAGCCGAACCGGACACTCTACGATAGTTTCGAGCTTTGATGCCCCGTGATTCGCGACGTTGCTAATCCCGTGATTCGCGACGTCGCGAATTATATTCGCATCGATGACCTTTTGCAGAACAGTGATTCCGACATGGACGCCGTTCCAAGCCGCACAGCAGAGGTGCCCGAAGATGCACGCTTCAGCCATGTTCGCTCGTGTGTCTTAGCTAAATTGGTGCGTTTTGGCATGCAAAGCATTCGGGTAAACGCAGAGGCGTCAATGCAGTATAGCTGTCGCGAATGAGCATCAGCGTAGAAATAGAATACGTTTCCTGCTTGCCAGGTTCTTTTTTGCGCCTCCAGATGGCACCACGTATCCAGCCTCTCACGGTTAACATGGTATTACCACTTTTACGTGGACGCAAAGTCTACAGATGAACTAAAATAAACGATACCTGCGTGTTGCTTGTTAGCGATTATCTGACTATACGCTGTTTCACATTTGATAGCTTGTTAGCTTGTGGTCGTGTTGGCGTGGAACACATTCGTGATATGAAAAGACACACTCATAGCGCTTTTTCCGGGCTTCGAACGAGACGACTGCAACTCACGATTCCCCAACATACAGACCGACAAGCACACGTTCATTCATACTCCTTTTTTTTTTTCGCCGTTCTTTGAAATCATTCAATTCGGTGCGACGGAGATCAGACGAAGCACACGTTCAATCATACTCTTTTTTTTCGCCGTTCTTTAAAATGAATCAATTCGGTGCGACGAAGATTAGACGCGACGAGCGAGTGCGTTTCTGTGCTTCGGCGCCAGTCGGCGCCACAATAAAAACACTCGGATCCACGGAGGAAGGAAAAAGGTGCTCGGATCGCACTCGTCATCACTACTAGCATGGTCACTCAGGATGGTATTTTGGAATTTATCCCACCCAGTACCGCACCGAACACGTAGCACTAGTGTCGATGTCGTAGGGCAGTCTATTTTTTTTTTTTGTTTTTTCTCCTTAGCTTTTCTACACTGTTTGACATGAAATCAAAATAAATTCCACGCTATGAATTCAGTTCAAATTTGGCCAATAAGACGTATGCATACCAAGCGAACGAATGATGGGCACATCTCTATCTTAAAATTTGATGAGCTTCTTTAACACCGGCTTTTACCAACATCATTGTGTGAAAAAAGCAAAAAAAAAAAGGGGGAGCCCCACCGATGTGCCACCCGCCATGCACATCGACCATATTGCGAAGAGAGCCCGTCACGTGGTCTGCGAGCGGCAACCACGCAACGTGAGGCTCTGAGTGTGCGTGCGATGCACAGCAGAAAACATCGTTCTCACGACGTACCAGAATCCTTGACCTCCATTTCCTACCTCTTCAGGGTTCATTTTGTGCCCACATGTTTTGACGGGATTTGAATGGCGTAGGCTTCCCTTCCCAAGCGGCTCACCCCTGAACACAGCCGAGTGTCAGGCCGGGGGAGTTCTTGTGCCCATTTTCCAGAAACCGGTGGGTATCCGGCGGCAGCGGGATTCGAACCCACGACCTCCCGCAGCCGAAGCGGACACTCTACCACGAGGCCACGGCTGCGGTGATGCGGCAGCTACGCTACACGCCATTTGTATCTACTATGTGAATTTTACAAGAACTTTTAGATCTGCGCGTGCGTGTGGCAACGGAAAAACGCGTGAGTTGTAATAATATTATTAATAACAAAATAAACAGCAGGTAAGATATATGCGGCCACAAAATAAATCGCGGAAATTTCCTTCAGGAAGAAATCTCATTTCGTGCGGGAGAACAATTCCCGATGCCTCCCTAGCGCACTTACGTGCCTGCATCACAGCGCGATTAACTGCGCAGTCTGGGAAAGAGGAGGAAGCAATATTATGTAATAATAAGAAAGATAATCTGAGAGAGAGAATAAGGGTCTCACGAGGGCCTGTTGGGTCTTCGAATGCGAGCTGGACAGAGCTGCCTCCCACCCTACAGTGTTGTACTGTGCTCTGGGTTGTAAAGGTGGATTGTGTGGGCATTCCCATACCATGTGGTACAGGGTGGCTGTTTGAGTGACGCAAAACCTGCACTGCGGTGTGTATGCGTCGGGACATATATCTTGGAGAGTATGTATGGATTGGGGTAAAACAAAGTCTGCAGGTGACGCCACGCTACCTGAGATCTTTACTGAGCTTCAGCCCCTTGGCGTTACCAAAAAACACAACACGTTGGGGTCACCATCTGTTATCGCTATGAACAAACGTGTTTCTAAGCATACATGCTTTGCGTGAACATGCATAGGTAGCGCCACATGCCCAAAACTTTCAGATCGATGAAGTTTTTTTTGTTTTTTTCAATCAGTGACACGTGCACTTACTTTCAGAGACAAGATAACTGTTCCATTATCTCTCTTTATGATCGAGTTTTTGGTAGAGAAAGGAACGGCGTAGAAAAGGATCGCCGTTGTACCAGGTTCGTTTCTTTCTCGGAGACCAACGTTTCGCATGAAATATTTGCCAGGGCTGCAAAAAACTCTGCACATCTACCGACTGCCCATGGAGATCTCATGATATAGGTTGTAAACGAAACATTTTTTTTTTTTCTTCGGTCTTGGTTGCTCGTATAGTCCTATACTGTAAATGTTGCTCGTGTAGTCCTATACTGTAAATGTAGGAAAATGGTGTAGGTGGGCTCACTATAAACAACCGGGTGAGTATTAAAGAGCAAGCAATCGCTTACGTGACAGCATGTGTCCAAATTTATGTGGTTTGTTCGTATGTGCCCGTCGCATCGAGAGGCAGCTAATCGTGGGCCTTGGCAGTTTCTTTTATGAAAAAAGATATGAAATTGCCTTGGTTTTACGTCTTCCATTCCGTCGCTTCGAGGATATGGCCAGGAATTGAAGAAAATATATTAAGAATTACTCACGCTGGGTGCACATACGACGAAAAGCTGCATGTAACGTTATCAATAATGGACGATTGTAGGTGCTATTTCGAATACGTATGTGCGGCGTGTAAATGTAATTTTTTCACCTATATCGATGATCTGTTATTCTGAAAATCATCCGAGAAACTGATATTGCAGTGGTATCTGTGTGAAAACATTCCGCCACACACGCAAGGAAAGCGCGTATCACTGAAGGCATTAACCGACATATCGCCAGCACGATTTTCGGGTAAAGTGGCGGAGGTTGTGCAGTCCAGGCATACAAAAAGAAAATATAAAAAAGGAGCCCCTCCGATGCGCCACCCGTCATGCACATCGACCATGTTGCGATCAGTGAGCGGTAACCACGCAAACTGCAGCTTGAATGCGCAGTGGTAGCGAACTAGTTCATACGATAGTTGTAGTTATAGCGCGAGAGCAGAACGACGACAATGAGACAAGAAGGACACGATGGCCTGGACACGCGTTTCCACTGGGCGCGGGTTTTATGTCAACCCATCGTGCTCGCATGTTTCAACGGGATTTGAAAGGCGCAGGCTGCCTTTCCCAGACGTTTCACCCCTGAAAGTAGCCGAGTGTCGGGCCGGGGGACGCCTGTGCCCATTTTGTAATACCGGTGGGTATCCGGCGGCACGTGGATTTGAACCCACGACCTCCCGCAGCCGAAGCGGACACTCTACCACAAGGCCACAGCTGCGGTGACGGAGCAGTGGATAAAAGGCGCGTTTTGGGAAGGCGCCAGCCGTTCTGACAATCTAGTTAGAGTTTCGACACTCGCACAAACTCAACTCGACGTTTTCAGATATATGAACCTTCGTAACAATCTAAAACATTGGCTTCTTGCATAAAGTTTGAATATGTCAATTATCACCGCTGTGAACGATCAGTGCAGAGGTTTGCTGATTGTGACGCCACCTTTAGGCAAAAAATAAATATGCGAAACAGCATTACTGTGTGCGTGTGTATGTGTGTGTGGGTGTGTGTGTAAGTGGGTGCTTTTTGTAGTGCGCCAGGCTGCGTAAGTATGTCGCGTTGAGTAGTCATGAGTTTTACTTTCAGTGCTTGCTGTGGTATTGTCCTCGTTTTTCACGGACTTTTTTTTTCTTTTATATAGGATATAACTTTAGGATAACTGCCAGTTAGGCGTGTTGGTAAAGGTTCATGATGAGACAAGCGCAAAAATACACACACTCAGAGAGGACACAGACAAGCGCTTACTAGCAATTGAAAATTTTATTTCGAAGCGAACACTAATAAATACATCACACGCATGTACGTCATTCCCGACTTCCCCTGTCATCATCAACAACGTGACATAACAAAATATGCACGCGCCCACAACCGGAAACAAACACGTGCCAAGAACTAATAAAAGAAAGCGTAAAACAAAAAATTAAAAACGTAAAACAAAAAGCAAAAAATACAAAAACTAAATAAACAAAAAACCAAAGAAACAAAAAAAAACGTAACACAGAGAAAAACACTGGGTTATGTGACGCCCAAAAATCAAATTCCGCATCTGTTAGTAGAATTGACGCTTGGCTGACGCAACTGTCCCCTCCTTTCCTTATTCTAAACGCTTCCATTATTTCTCTCGTCGTCCGCTTGTTGTGCCGGTCAATCATTCGTGAGTCCGAAAATTTCGGTTGGCAGGTGCACTCCTTGCAGTGCATCGCTAAGTGTGAGTAAAGGGCCCCCTTTAGTGAACTCTCATGTTCACGAAGGCGCACATTTATGCACCGACCCGTCTGACCAACGTATTCCTTTCCACAGGTGAAAGGAGTTCCGTATACAACACCTTTTTTGCACTCAACGTACCTCCTGCCGTGCTTTATGCTACATCTGTTCGATTCTGCAGTCCCTTTCTTGTTGACCAGCCTTTCTACTGCTGGACAAATGTTTGATAACTTGTTTTCAGCTGAAAAAAGAACCCGCACGCCATACCTCAATGCAACTTTTTTCAACCTATGTGAAATATTGTGCAGGTACGGGATCACCACTGTCCGTTCTCTTTCACCCTCAACTTGTCTCCTATCCTCGCTTGTGTCAATGATTGCATATTTTACTTCCCGACGATTATTCTCACAGGCCAAAAGGATACAATCATCCTGGTAACCAGCTCCCCTCGAGCGCTTGATCTGCGCGGAAACACTCTCATTCATTGAGTGTACGCGCGATTTCATGAGGGCAGCTTTGATGCAAGAAGTTGCAATCCCATTCTTTACTATCTTCGAATGTGCCGAATGATAGCTCAGCAACTGGATATAACAGCGAAGACAAC